CACACTGTGCCTATAGGCCGGCTTGAGGAGAAGAAGGTAACACACCGTAACGGTAGCTTACGAGGAGTGGTAAATTACCAAATGAGAGGTTGGCACTAAGCGCTGAGGGGGCAGGGGCTGTCCTTGCCCTCCCCAGCCTCGGCTGATGCCACGGGGGCTCGGGAGCCCGCTCTCACCCCCAGCATCCCACCGCGGCTCTCGCAAGGCAAATGCTTGTTCTCATAACGCGGTCCTGCAGGGATGTGTTGTGCTGCAGACAGGGCCCTTGCACGACGTCCTCTAAACCGGCATTAATCTCGCACCGCTAGATCTCAGTGTGGTTTTCAGTTCAGAAGGTAATTCTTTGGTCACGTAGTCTCTGCCCAGCACTGCGAGTTGACGCCTGAATGGCAGTGACACGTGGAGACTTCTCTGCGGGCATTACTTCTGCATATTCACAGCGAAGTGACTTTCCTCTCTCCCTGGTGTTTGTCACTTCAGATCTCCACACAAGCGGAGGAAAACTAAAAAAAGCTCAGGCTGAATTCAAGCCCTTGCAGGGAGCCCGCAGCGTTTCACAGCTGTGTGATTTGGGGAAGGTGACATGCTGGTTGAGTACAAGGATTTCTGGGACTCTGGAGGATAGAGCAGCTGAACCTCTCAGGGCAAAGTCACCCCCAGTCAAACCCGCCTCGGCTCAGCTGACACCTTTTTATCAGTGCTGTGCCAGAGAGTTTGAACATCACGCACAAGTCCTTGGAAAGAGCCACAGGAACCTCAGGGAGAGGGAACTGGAGGATCCATTGCTCTTTTACTCATGTAAAGGATCATTACAAAGGGTGGTGAAAAAGCTCGGATACTGAGCCGGGAGCTCATTAACTGGAGATATTACAAACTGGAACACTTTCAGGTGTTTCCCTTTATACCACTTTGCCAAGACTTCGGCTCTGAGAACTGCTTAGGAACGGGGCTTACTGTTACACTGTTCAGCCTGCCAGCGTCTGGTGAACAAGCTGTGTCTCCACATGATGTATTGATTCTGCTGCACCACACAACTATTTTCAGAGTCATCGTTGAGATGTAGAACTGCAGGACAGGAGTTTTTTCAGTTTCTTGGCCACAACAGGGAGAGGGGGGGTGTACAGTTCCCCTGCAGCACAGTTTACCCTCTAGAGCACCGGCACACAGCAGCAACACGCTCCGATGAAGGCTCGTATTGTGGCAGGTGCTTGAGTTCACATCAGACTCCTTCAGCACAAAGAAATCTTAAATGTTATGGGAGTGGGGAAAAGGAGTGTGAATGTGGCTCCACACAGGTAACAGTCCGAGAAGTCTTCGAAATGGTTGCCTATCCCTACTCTGACATATCACTGAGAAGAGTTTGTTGATCTCAGCAGTGGGTAGCAAGATGAGCAGCGTGGATTTGCTTTGCTCCTTGATTTAGGGTTCAATTGATCCATTAGTCCTACCTGGACTTCAAAGATCTTTTCATGTGCCTCCTGGAAACGTTCCTTCCTTAAGTTTTTTTCAGTTTGCTGACTGCACTGCACAGCCCACACAAGTAAAAATATATTTTTACCTGGTGGTGTTATGTGGCATTTGGTTGCATTATTCCTGCCTCTAGGCTAGTGCTTCTAGCACTCTATTTTCATTTGGCTCCATCACCTCAAAGGCCATTTTTCCTGCTGTACTTTCTCTATCAGCTTTTTGGAAACAGGAACAACATACTAAAAAATGCAATAAGTTTTGCAGTTTATTTCTTAATAATTTAGAAAAGGTCTCAGGATATGTATCTGGTTTTTAAACATTCCTCCCCTTTTTGTATATCCCAGCTTCATTTTATTCTAAAAATCACAGGCTCTCACCTATTTCCAGATAGCCCTGGCAAGAATTGAGGAAACTGAATCAGAACAGCACATTAAACTGTCACTGAGATGTAACCCCTCTCCATATTCAGGTGAAAGCGGAGTGGACACTGACCAGACCTTGCACTGAGGTAGGCAAAAGCCTTGCACAACCTGTTGGGTTTTGGCAGGCAGCTACTTGGGCCTTTCGATGTCGGAGCTGGAACCAGCCAAGATCAAATGACACAAATGAACCAAATGGGGGAGGTGGAGGGACAGCAAAAGGCAAAGTACGAGGACGAGATGCCTCATCTCCACGACACAAACAAGCAAGGCAGATTCATCTGTTGTACAGCTCTGTCGCCATCCAAGGAGTTACTGTGGGAGGTGCTTTGTGCTGCATGCACAGAAGGGCCCCAAATGGCACTGGTCACTGCGCACGGCTGCATCGGGAGAGTGAGCCTACAGTTCCGAGGGGCTTAGAGCAGACAGAGAAGAGCATCAGGAAAAGAATTTTAAAACTCCTCCTGTCACCACGACCGTGCTGGATCGAGGCAGTAGCCGATCTGTGTATTTATCCTTTCTGACACTGACAGTGGAGGGGCAGCAGACAACGAGCTCTGAACGTAGTTCCAACTTGTTTTTGAAGGCAGCTGTCCTTGCAAGAGCACGCAACAGGTGACGTTCAAGGAACTTGTGCCTTGTTCAAACAAGCAGAAAATTGGCTCAAGACTCTCTTGCATGGAGCTCTTGTGCTGCAAGTATCGTAAATAAGAAAAAAAAAAAAAGACACTTTATTTGCTTTGGCTTATGCAATGGGTTTGCATGCACAGCAGCCCTATCTCGAGATTCTGCAGGGAGATGTGTATCAAGAAAGGCTCTGCTACCAAGCCCAGTTTGAGGTTTGTCAAGATTAGCACTGTAGATTAGGCTCTTGGTTTTGATTGTTTCTCTGCTCTGCTTCTACTTGAACAGAAGCTGTGCGAGGCATTTATTGTGCTGGTAGGAAGCCTGCTCTCTACAAGAAAGGGAAGAGTTGGGGCTCAGGAATTTGAAAGTCAGGCAAAATACAAACGTGCTAACAGGAGAGACTGCAGCAAGGTTGGGCAGCTATGGTGAGGTAGTAAAGAAGGCCCTCTTTTATTCCTCTTTTAGAGGAAAGGAAGTGGTTAGCGTACAATGTAAACAGGCCCTTTTCTTTGAGCTTAGCACTGCAGCAAGCTGCTGCAGCAGAGCAGCAGTGCAGCACCTACAGGGGCTGCTGCTCATGCGCCAACCCTGCAAGCACTCTCAGGGCGAGAAGCAAGCTGCTGTCACTGACTTGGCCGACTGGAGTGCATTAGGCTCTGCCCAACAAACTTACCCATAAAAAAAGAAGTAAGAAGACAAATATCCCCACCTGTGTCAGCACTGAAACCGAAAGTTTTGGGGCAAATCTGCTTTTTCACCACTGACATTTAGGATTTCCTGCAGGTTGGAAGAACGGAACGTAAAGGGGACCGGCCTGCTTGGCTGCTTTAGCTCAGCCTGCAGGGACGCGTGTTGCAAGCTGTGGTTCGTGGTGCCCTTTTGAACTAAAGGGCAGGTTTACTCAGGAAACAAACACAGAAGAGACAGCTGGCTCATTCCCCAAAACCAACAGGTCCAGCTGAAAGGATATGTGAGCCTGGTCTGAGCAGCCACTTTCACCTTTTCTGAGCACTGTAATAACTTATCTTGCATTAATATCACTGACATCTCACCCCCAGCGTACTGTGCAGCCATCTCTGTGGATGGTGTAACCAGCCAGCAGGGACAAACGGACTTCCAGATACAACCAGAGGTTAACAAGGAGGGGAAAACACAGTTCTGCAAACTGGAATCCTCCTCATGGCTTGTACCTGGAAATGGAAGGTCAGAGGGACAGGAGGGGCACAAAGGGACACAGGTGAGAGGCTGTGAAGGGTGAAGCACAGGTGTGGAGGATGACTCAGTGGCCGCTTCTTTCCAAACCCCAATTACAAATCCAAACAGAGCTACAACACGTGACAAGTGGAACCATTAACTTTACTGGAGAATCTGACTGACAGAAGAGCAGTGGAACATTAACTGTATCTGAGGCGTTACTCAGCTCCCACACCGTGCACTCTGCTCGCCCCGGGCCGCCCAGCACCGCTCCCTCTGCCACCAGCGCCGGCCCAGCCAGGGCAGCACTCGGCAGTGGCGAGAGCCTGGCTCAAACGGCTTCCACGGAGCGGGGGGAAAGGACCGAGCGCCGCTGGGGTTGGCAGCAGCTTCACCTGGACAAGCAGCTTTTCTCAGCCGTGCGGGCTGGTCTCTGTAAAGCATGGCCTGAGTCTGTGTTTGGGGATGGTAACTCACAGGACTAACCTGGTCCTTCCCAGGAGCCGGAGGCCTCGCTTGGGCAACTGCACAGCCCCCTGCTCCGAGGCGCTGCGTCCCTTTGCTCTCACAGGTGACGCAGCAGCCTCTAGTGGCCAGGTGCTCCAGGAGAGCCCTGGCAGGGTCCCCACCAAGGGCTGGGTCCTGACCTGTCTCTCTACTAAAGAGCAAAAATCGTCCAACTGACTGTGTTGCAAAATGAAAGCCATTTTCAATTATTTTTCCTTGTTTCAGCCAGACTCGCTCTGCTATTACCCTTAGGAAACCTTTGCCCCTTCTATAGTGCTGTGACCTGGAAAACTCAGAACAAGGATGGAGAAGGCAGTTCTAACTGGTACCAGTTCCCACGTGGACAGAATTGCCTCTGTCCTCAAGCAGATCCAGTGGTGCTGGAGCATGAAAGAAAAGCCTATAGGGCTACAGCTCACATGCCTGTAGTGGACAAGAGGGGAAAGCACCTCATTGCAGTCTAAGATGTAGTTTTCTTCCCTTCTACGTTGCAGAAAGGCTGTGACTGAAGTGCACTTTGTGGAATGGTGTTTCTGTATGATTTTTAGAAGAAATGTTGAAATACACAATAAGCCTGCACAACATAAACTGTTTTACTTAGAGTACAACCCCCTAATTCTGGCTGGCCTGCTTTAGGAGCTGGTGCTTGAAATGCTCCAGCAGTTCGGGCGCAATCTTATCAGCAGTCAAGTTCTTGGCATTCAAGATCCCTTCGTGAGCTTCCTGGAAGAGCTGCTTCCCCACCGCTTCTTCCACGCGCCTGCGCCACTCTGCCAACTTCGGCCTCTCCTCAAAGAGGTCGTAGCCAGCGCCTACAGGCTGCAGAGAGAGAGCAAGAAAACCCGGGAGTGAGTCAAACAACGTGTTTACCAGGGATGGGACCAGAACAGATATGCTTTTGGCTCTAGGCAGCAGAGTCTTGTCACATTAGGTGGAGCTCGTCTCTGGTTCTTAGCTAGTGGGAAGCAAGTGTTGTCATCCTTGGCAGCTGCTGTCCCCTGGGACGTGCAGTGAAAGAGCGCTGCTGCCTAACCCAAAAACTGTCTAATGCAGAAATCAGAGGTCCATGCACACCAAGATATCTCTCCCAAATATCTGTACTTTCTCTGCCTAGTTTGTAATTTATCTTTTTTTTCTGAGGAATTTTGTCCATACTACTATAGAGAGAACTGTCTCAAAGTACGTGTTCCCTGGCAAACTCAGTTACAGTCAAAGTCAAAAAGGAACAAGATTTAACTCCGCTAAGCAGTTAACTACAGGGAGAAAGATCTGCCATTAAAGAGGGGTGGTGCTGCAGCCACACCTTGGCCTGGCCTGCCCACAACCCAGCCTGCATATCCAACAGTGTTGGGTTGATGTTCACCTGCATGAGCTCCACCAGTGCTACAAGGTCTGCCAGAGAGATCTCGCTGCCTGCGATGAAGGGCTTGTCCTGCAGGAACTTCTCCTCAAACTGCTTCAGGACAACATTCAGCTCTTCAGTAACACCTTCCAGTTTCTCTGGAGGAAGTGGCTGGCCTGTGAGGAGAGGCAGCAGCACCTGGCAGGAAGAAGAAACAAGTTGCTTTTTACCTATTTCCCTTCAAACTTAGTCCACAACCTCCCACTGCCGCCTTCTGAGGATCCCTCATCAGCCATGCATGAGAACAAATGGTTCTGCTAACCTCCTCTGGCAAATTAACGTTAATGTCAGTCATTAATTCCTGCCTGTCCTTGTCTCCTCCCTAGAAAGTCTGAAATTTCAACCACAAGAGTCTACTCTCAAGGGAAGGCTGCATCATCGGCAAGCAACTGCGTTTTGTTTTCCAATGGGAGGTTCATTCTTTCCATGAAGCTGGGCAGAAGGCAGTGAGCTGTGTCTGGTGTTAGCTGCTCCCTCAGGACGAATTCGCTCTGGATCTCAGTGCATGCACAGAGCTGTGGCTGCAGCCTGAAGGGCCACTTCAGTTAGGCTCGGCCGAGCAGCCAGGTCAATTCCAGATCTAGTTTTGTTCCTATCTGTCACCTGGCTTATACAATTGATTAGAAAGGCCCTGCACGCAGGAGGTCATTGCACTCACAGCTCTTAGCACTTTATTTGTGGTCTATAACGGTCTTACCTTGGTTAAGAATAGCTTGCTCCCCTTCCCACGAATGTTGACGTGCTGCCATGACAGGTACTCATCAACCCTAGCCCTTTTCTGCAGGTCAGATGGGTACCAGTGATCAGGAGTCTTGAATTTCCGCGTCAGGTACAGGAGGATTGCAATGCTGCCCAGAGAGCAAGGCAGACTGGTGAGCTGGTCATCTGAGAGTAAAGCATCTCATCCTTTCTTCTTCCCCTAAATTCTGCACTGCTGGACCAGCAGCTGTACACACCTGATCGGAGTCAGGCAGAAGTGCGGGACACACAATTACCAGCGAGAGTTCATGCTGGCCTGAGCAGCTGCTTGTGGACAGCAATTATCTGATATATCAGCCCAGCGAGACAGACATGGCCTGCTGGTACAGTTACCCATCAACATTTTTGAGCAAATATGAGCCACAGAATGAGTTTATCCCAAATCAGAGCTTTGTATCGCCTGGACATCCAGCAGCAGGTGCCTTATGTCAGATTTACTGCATTGAGCTACAGCCTCCAGCTGAAGGCAGAGAGCAGGAGGACACAGACAGGTGTTAAGCTCAGAAACACTGCCTACGTGCAAGCTAGCTCCGAGCAGCAGCTCACAGATTTTTCCACGATCAATGCTGTTCGAGTTGCTTACATGAGAAAGCTTCTCTTGAAATGCAGGTTTGTGTTATGTACAAGTGGAACAGATAGGAAGGAGGTAAACAACTACCTGGCTGGAGTCCCACTAGAGACCGAACAGCGCACTGGTAGAATCCAAGCATTAGGACAGACAGTACTGCAGCAGGGGTTGAGCTTATTGGAGCCTCACCTCTCTGCTAAGGTGAAAGAGCCATCCCTTAGCGCAGGCACCTTCATCAGGAGGTTCACCTTCCGGAACTCCTCCGTCCTGTGCTGCCCTGAGGAGGGACATGAGAAGTTTTACTTGGCAGTGATGCTCAGGACCTGTCTGCAAACACCTGGGGAGTCTGTGGGGACCATCTGGCCTCAAGTTCCTGGTTTTGATTGTTCAAATACAGTCTTGTTTAACTTTACAAGCAATCAAAAAGTGCCACAGCATGAACAGGGGGGTTGCCCTATGATGTCAGCTTACTTGCTTATTGCCTGCATACCAGAACCACCTCCCGACAAAGGTCAGAATGATTAGCAGTCCTTTCATACCAATGGCACTTGTCAACTCAAGGCTCTGTGAGCTCTAGGTTTGTGCCTGGAGGTACCTGTCATGTACAAACCCAGAGTGAACACCAAGGATCTCGGTATCAGAAACAGGAACCACAAGGACAGTGAGAAAGCTGACTTTTTTTTTTTTTTTTTTCTGGAAAAGAATGTAATTTATATTCAACTCTCTTTTTAGTCCTCAAATTAAAATAAATTTCTATGATTCCACATAAAGCCATGGGTACTTTATTACAGGTCTATCAGTCGTCTCTCTTTGTGGGTTTTGCATATCTTTTATCAGAGCAAATACAGATTTGAATTTGCTTTTAAGCTATCTTGTAGGTCCCCCCCAAAAGGTAGGCAGAATGAACCTGGCAGAAGATGCTCTGTTCATCTGAGGTCTCAGCACGCTCCATAACATTTGAACCAAGTCCCAGAAGCCCTGTTTTATGTCACTCGTTTGTGCCAGCCTTCTCCAGCCCCTGGTTTCAGGCACAGGTGTGTACCTCTGTATTCAAGCTTCTCTAATGTCTAAGCCCACACCATGTCCTGCTACGTGAGTCATCTGAGAGTCTCTGTGCCAGAGGAGATGCTCTGGAAATGGTTTTAGTTTTCCCAGTACTTGGCAAACCTGATTTGTGACTATTCCCATGTCACTTGGCTCACAGCCTGCCTCCCCCACTCCCTTTCAAAAAGACACTGGGATTTCCTACACGTGGTGTGGAGATTCCAGGTGCTCAGATGTCCCTGGAGTGTTGCCTAATTTCTATCTGTTCTCACTCTTTCTACCCATTTCCTTGAGACCTACCCTACCAGGGGTCCACGAGCTTTTCTGGGGGGACACATTTAATCCACCAGCTCAAATCTGAATATATGTTCCTGTGCAGTGATGGGTACTAGTGCAGCAAGGCCGCCTGCACGGCATCCCGGAGCAAGTGCTCATTCGGGGGCTGGTGTGCCCACACCTGAGCTAACCCAGCTGCACGTACCAGGAGTGCTTTCCCAGGGTGTGCGTGGGAGGTGCACACACTGCAGGAATGGGACGCACCTCTAGAATTCCCGTAAGCCAAACTTCCCATCTTAAATCCACTGACCAAAACCAAATGCTGATGCCACAGATCACCGGGAAACTATCATTTAATTCACTTTCCCTTCCTCTCAGGAAGGAAACTGTATTTCAGTTGTTCCATTCTCCTTGATGCTCTCCTTGCTTGCCTGCCAGTCTCCCTTCCTTTGCACCAGCGCCTCACAACACCCAGTCATTGGGAAAGAAGGGGAAGGACACTAGATGTAGCCCCAGGCTACAAATAGCAGCAAAATTTTTTGTTAGGAGACAGATAGGAGGAAAGCCACAGTAAGGGCAATCAATGCACAGCAAAGGTACGCACGGGAACACCCAGAGACTAAACCACAACACGCCTGAGGTTTCTTTGTCACAAGCTGGAGCCTCTTTTGTTCTTTTATCAATTTCAGCCCCAGGAGCCTTCTCATCTTTCATTGTTTTTAAGCATTGCTTTTTAATGCCCAATACATTACTTTAATTTCGAATCCAGCAGAGCTCTGGAAAAACTGAAGGATAGCTTTTACCAGCTTTAGTTACAAAGAAAAAAGATACAGATCTTTGAGGATCCTTTGGTGAAAATACACAATACCTCTTGGGCAGGCTCCTACCATTTCAGTTGGTTTCACCACAAAGTAAACCACCTTCCCGTCTTCTCAGCATTCAGATCCCTGGTGGCTGCGCTGTCTTGCTCCACTGCCTTCACTGTCTTTGCAAGCCTGTCCTCAACCCTCTCAAAACAACCCGTCCACAAACAGCTTGGCCCGATGGCACACCCAAAGCGGGGGCTGGCCGGGCTGCCCCGCCTGCCCACGGGAGACATCAGCAAGCTCTGGGCATGAGGACCCTTCCCAAGGGGCTGTTAAGCCCTGCTAAGAGGAGGAGAAAAGCTGCTCTGCAGCAACTGCTGCTGCTTACCGGAGCACAAAGTTTTCTAAGGAAGTTGAATTAGAGAACAAGAACCGCACACCTCCGCCGTCCTCGCCCATACGTGCCTGTCCCACCTCTGTTGCTTTTTGTTTCTCATCTAACTGGGGAACGGACTCAGACCTAGCACATCCTGAGCGTTTCTTCTCAGAAAAGCAGTCCTTTTGTCAGAGACCCATTTTCTGCCGGGGTAGGGCCGGCTGCAGAGGGATCACGCACCTTCGCAGAGCCGCACTCGTTGCAGAGGAGCGCAGGCAGCGAGGCTGCCGCTTACAGATTAGCATTTCTTTAGCAAATTAGGTCCCGCTTGCGTCTTGGCCTCAGGAGCCCGCTGCAGCTGCAGGACCACCCCACCCTCCTGCAGCATCCCGCCCCGACGGGGCTGACCGAGTCACCCGGCCCTGCGGGGCGCCGGGCTGGCACCGAGCGCTCCGCCCGCACCCCGCGGTCCCGGCGCGGCTCTGCGCACCGCGGGG